AGAGAGAGAGAGAGAGAGAGAGAGAGAGAGAGAGAGAGAGAGAGAGAGAGAGAGAGAGAGAGAGGCTACCTTCCTGCCTCTCCCGTGTGTGCGTGCGCATACGGCTACTTGCGAAAGAACAAGGAAGAGCTCTCGCCTGAAATAGTGCACGCGGCGCAAATCCTGTTCTTCGGCTTCGCGCGTTGCACCGGGTGTGACTATCAGCTTCATAGCCGTCACCACAGCGGTCGCCGTAGTCATAGTCATCGAAATAAGCAAATAGCCATCGTCCTCATTGTCGTCGCCCTACCGTCTTCTGCGCTAGATTACCATCCTTATAGCCATAACCGCCATATCCAATACTCCCTCACAGCTATCGTTGCGCTAAGCGCTTGACAAATCTATTGGTTTTTCTTTCCGCTCGCATGGTATTATTAAATCAATCAGAAGAATCCTTCTTCTCTGATCTCCGTGTGACACCTGTGTGAGTCGCCATAGCCATCCGCTCATCTCGTTCATCGCTGTCGCCATAGCCAGAAGATCATCATCGTCGCCGACGGCTTACCCTCACCGTTACTCTTTCTCGCTTTCCGCTCTTTCTTAGCCCTGTCAGCTCCGTTTATCACCGTTACTAGGCTGAAGAGGCTGTTGTCGTCAACAGTTTTCGACTGCCCGCGGTCGCAAACGAGGAGGAGGGGGGTTGGCAGCAGGAAAGAGGGAAGAGAGGAAGAACGGTAGATCGGGGGAGCAGCGCGCCGAGCCCGGAGGGAAAGAGAGAGGGCAAGTTGGGGGGGAGTGGAGTGGAGGTGGTGTCGGCACTGGTTCTCTCACCAGCAATTGGAACTTGCGGACTCATCTAGGAGCGGCGCGCCTAGCGCGGAGTGAGAGAGAGAGCTGCACACACACACGCACACAGACACACACACACACACACACACACACACACACACACACACACAGAGGAGGAGGGGGAGGATGGAAGCAGTTCGGGCCATGTCGATGATTGTAGCACAAGCGAGCGGTGGGTCGCCATCGAGCTTTGTAGCTGCTGCGTCGACGCACGGGGACCGGACACGTGTCGATCTGGGACGGCCCTGTCTGAACTCCAAGTTGTCGTCTTCCCATCCTCCTTCTCCTCCTTCTCCTCCTCGCGGCTCCTGTGTGCTGGCCCACTCTAGCTCCCGCCAAGGCAGCAGCTATGGCGGCAACAGGAGAAAGACGCGTTTGGGTACCGTTGTTTCTGGTGTCGTCAAGAGTAATTTGAAACTCCGGGGGTTGTCATCCGCTGTCTGCCGATGGTCGATGCTGCCCTGTCGATCTGCCCCTCGCTCTTCTCCTTCTTCCTCTGAGTCATGCACATCATGGTGGGCATGGTCGCCATCCCCTTGGACCTCGTCTTCTCCTTCGTCTTCCTCTTCGTCCGCCATAGCCGCCTCCTCGTCCTGGTGCCGATGCAGATACGCGTGCAGGAAACGGTTCGAGAAGGATTATAGCTACGGCGGCGGGAATTACCGGAGTATTTTGGGAGGTGTAGGAGTGGATAAGGGGAAAAGGGGGGGGGGTGGAGTGTCCTCCTCCTCCTCCTCTTCCTGCTCCTCCCCCTCCCCCTCCCCCTCCCCCTTTTCCTCTCACGCGGAACCCCCCCTCCCCCGCTCCGCCTGCTCTAGGATAGTTTTCTCGTTGTCCTCTTCGCAGGGGCGTCTGCTTCTGCGGCGCAAGGTGTCGGGATCGGGATCGGGATCGAGAGGCGATGGCTCGCTCATCCTTGTCCTTAGCGCGTCCAGAGGGGAGGTCTTCGGAAGCAGCGCGACGCGGGAGGAGTTCCTGCGCGCCATTAAGCGGGAGGCAGGAGCTAGAGGGGGGGCCACGGGGTCCTCCTCCTCCGCGGGATGGCGGAATCCTGGCCGTTTGATCATCGAAGCCGTATTCGAACGATTCACGGAGAGAGCCATCAAGTCGATTATGCTGGCGCAACGAGAAGCAAAGGCACAAGGGAGGGGGGAGGTGGGGACCACACAACTTCTTCTGGGGTTGATTGCTGAGGAGAGAAGTAATAATGGCTTCTTAAAGACGGGAGTAACGATCGAAAGGGCGCGAGAAGTTGTGCGAGAAATGGCCCACGAAGAGGGGTTAAGTACCCAGAGACTTGACAAACCTGCGTCTGAGATCTCCTTCTCCCATGGCAGCAAACGAGTGTTCGAGGGCGCTCTTGAGGAGTCGAGGACGATGGGCCATAACTACGTGGCTCCAGAGCACATCGCCGTCTCGTTGTTGAAGTCAGAAGATGCGGCCACGTCACAACTTCTAGAGAGGTAATTAGTCTTTCTTTCTCTTTTTCGTCTTTTTCGTTTTTCTAGAGAGATGCTGGCTGCCACGTCACATCTTCTAGAGAGTTAAGCAGTCTTTTTATTTTTATTTTTTTAGAGACGTAATCAGTCTTTATACGAGATGGATAAGGTAGATGATCCTGCCAAGATGCGCCTCCTGCCACGTGTCCTTGATGACGAAGACGTAGATCGCCCTCGAACACATAGAGGAGTTTGTCAGCCGCTTTTTCCTGCGATGTAGATGATCCCGCCAAGATGGCGCCTCACGCGCCGCCTGCCACGTGTCCTTCTTGATGAGCGGAGTCAGTGAGGTGCAGGGAAAAAAACACAAACAGAAGTTCGTCAGCCGCTTTTTTTTTTTTTTTTTTAATGAGTTTCAGTCCCTTTCCGTCCCTCTCGTGCCCACTTCCTCCCTCTTCTCTCTCTTCCCACCGTCCCAACCCTCTCTCTCCCTCCTCTCTTTCCCCGTCCTCCGCAGGCCTAACCCTTGCCCTCCTTCCTTTCCCCCCCGCGTCAGAACACGCCTTTCGAAAGGCTCCCGTGTTTTTTTTTTAATTTTTTTATTTTTAATAAACCTGTGGTCCTTTCCGATTGCCCTTTTGAATTGAATATGATATAATTTCCTCCTTTTTTTTTTTTTTTTTTTTTTTGGGAAAAAACGAGAATTCCTCCAATTTTGTAATCACTGATCAGAGTATTAAATTTATATTACAATAAATAATAATGACTAGGAAGAAAAGGTCCTCGGCGAGGGGGAAAAACACAAAAAAGTCCCTTCAGGACATCCGTTAAAATTGGAACGATACCGAGAAAGGAGATTAGCATGGCCCCTGCGCAAGGATGACGCGCATAGATCGCGAAATAATAAAAAAAAACAGAGAAAGAAACAGCCCGTTTTCCTTCAATCGGTACTCTTGACCCATCAACAACACGGACCCAACATGAAATATTTGCTATGGGAGCAATTCTTAATTCAGATAGCAAACTTTCCGTTAATGGAAACATCGACTTCGGATCCAGTACCTTCCTTCCTTTAATGACGACAAAATCCTTACCGGGATACCTGGGTAGCAAAAAAACAAACAAACAAAAAACCTGGGTAGCAAGACCGGGACATTGTCTGGTGGCTTCGTCGACGAGCCTGTGTGGTCGGGTGTGAGTGTGACTGGGTACACCACACCCGACCACACAGAGCTTCCCGGGAAACCGTAGGCACACAGAGAGAGAGAGAGAGAGAGAGAGAGAGAGAGAGAGAGAGAGAGAGAGGGAGAGGGAGGAGGTGTGGTTAAGTAAGGTGGTTAATCTTGGGGCTTAACTGCTCCGCCAGACAGCTTGGCCGTTGGGTTGAGCGAGCAACTCCCATGTGGGAGGTCGCTTGTTCGATTCTTGAGATCGACTCGCCGACGTAAAAGATTCAACAATTCAATCCTTCCCCCTTGCTGCCAGTAAGTCAATTATTTACTGTATTTCTCTCTTTCTCTAATGACAGTGTTATATAATTTTGTCCAACGAAAGAACGCATCCTAAAGCGCTAAGAAGCCAGCAAAAAGGGACAAATGAGAGAGAGAGAGAGAGAGAGAGAGAGAGAGAGAGAGAGAGAGAGAGAGAGAGAGAGAGAGAGAGAGAGGCAGAAGACGCAAATCGAGCTAGCGAAGAAAAAAAATAGATTCCGAAGGGGGAAGGGGAGCAGATCTGCTCCCTTTTTCGTCCCCCTCCCCCCCCGCCTTTCCCCCGCTCTTCTCATCTGGGTGGGAGAAAAAAGCAATATAAAATTTAAAAGGAGAAATTTTGTAAAAGTCGATCGGGACGAACTCCGAAGAAGGGAACGTTCATGGCATGTTCGGATGAATGATCCATCCCACACC